CTCATAACTTTGCTCAAAACGTGCATTTGAAAGCTGCACAGAACATAATTTTTCAGTTACATTAATGTATTATTTTTATGAACTTATATGATCATTTGAGTCACATATCCAAAGATCTACTTAGAATATACAAAACTATAACTTTTCTGTGGTTCTGTATGGGTGTGAAACTTAATCTTTGACATTAAGAGAGGAGCATAGGCTGAGGGTGTTTGAGAACATGGTGCTGAGTAGAGTATTTGGATTGAAGAGAGATGAAGTGACAGGAGGTTGGAGGAAACTACATAATGACGAGCATCATAACTTGTACTCTTCACCAAATATAGTTAGAATGATGAAATATAGGAGGATTAGATGGGTAGGGCATTTAACAGGAATGGGGGCAAAAAAGGAATGCATGTATGATATTGGTGGGAAAGCCAGATAGAAAGAGACCACTGGGAAGACCATGGCATAGGTGGCGAACAACATTAAAATGGATCTTAGAGAAATAGGATGGAAGGGTATGGATTGAATTGATCTGGCTCAGGATAAGGACCGGTGGAGGGCTCTTGTGAACACAGTAATGAACCTTCGGGTTCCATAAAATTCTGAGAAATTCTTGGTAGCTGCACAATTGGCGGCTTCTCAAGAAGGGCAAAGCACTACGAGTGAGTGAATAGTCCTGTTTCGTAGAATTAGGGTGTTGGTTGCTGATACTGCTATTTGAATAATTCATCCTTGACTTACAGTTCCTCAACCAAATCTTTGTTATATAAATTATATAAATATTTTATACCATTCTGATATTCTTCCACTGCTGTCTTTATTGATTAAAATATATTCCCAACTTCTTATATTTTACACTTACTATATTTTCATTACTGCAACCAATATAGTTTCACTCTTCACATTTTCATGCTGAAATTGCCTATGATTTAGTGAGAACTGGATGGAAGAGATTGTGACTTGCTTTAAAATGTGAACAATTTATCTTTGACTTGCATTTATGTGTATTTTCTATTGTGTTACAGGTCTTCTATTTTTGAGTCTCACTGCATGTCTTATCTTTAACTACATTGTTCCTTGTCCTTGCCCCTTCAAACTTCTTTTCAGAGGTGCAAAGACAGGAAAGTCATGAATGACAAATTAGGTCTACAAGAAGGATTAGGAGAACTCCCAACTCAAGTTATACAGATTTTATTAATTCAGCTTCAAGAATATTAGCAGAACATTTTCCCCTAACGCTTACATTTAAAACAGAAATGGCATTATTTGATGTTTCTGTAAGTTTGTACTGAAAACGTTAACAACCTCTGATGCATGAACTGTAAAATTCAAGTGTTGTGACAGACATGCCCTATACTGTAAGATAACTTTCTGTGGATGTGAGATCCTTTCAACTCTGTCTTGACAATAACATATTTTCACAGTAATAAGCAAGAGTTGCCATTTATGATAATTACAAGATGTTCACTTAAGATGAAAACGTGCTGCTTGTAACACTGTAATTGTAGTCGATTCTGTGTATCATACTCAGGATTATTAAGTTTTGAAGCTTAGTCCACTGTCTGGTATTCTAAAGAATGCAACATCCCCATGGTCTGGTGAGGTGTGTGAGGCATATACCGTATTTACGCATGTATAGGCCGCACATTTTTTGCCAAAAATTCAAGAGGAAAACTGGGGTGCGGCTTATATTCGAAATATTCGAAATCACACTTCATTTAAAAAAAATTATATTCATAATTAGTAATACAGGGCGTAATACTCCTGAAATAATATTCCAAGAAAATTATTTTTTCTATAATTTCTGCCTGAAAATTGTGCTGCGGCTTATACACGCACGCGGCCTATACATGCGTAAATACGGTACTTCTTTGAGTCAGTTAGATAGAGCTAACCACAGTTACTGTATAGCCTGATGACCCAATCTGTGAAAGGTGTCTACAAGAAGACAAATTAGCCACACACATATCCTATGTGACTGTGAGGCCAAAGCGTATTTAAAATATTGTCACCTGAGTCAGTTCTTCATGGGACCAAGTGACTTTTTATGACGCCCCCATAAATAAAGTCCTACATTTCATTCGAAGTGGAGGATTAATAAAGGGTTAATCCAAAGGGGAAGCACAATAGATCATTGAAGGTCACAGTGCGAGGAGGATTAATAAAGGTTTAATCCAAAGGGGAAGCACAATAGATCATTGAAAGTCACAGTGCGGGGGCCAGATTTTTTGGCCCACCCCTTACACACATACTGTACAGCCTGTGCCGCTGTAGCTGTGTCTATATATGCACCAGCCATACTGATAGCACTGCATGTGTTACCTGTGTGAAGACTTGTCATTGTAATGGGAAGCTGGGCAGTGATTGTCTGCAAAACAGCTTGTACACTATCTTCATGGTCATCATCATCATCAGTAATCTGTCAAGACGACAGGTCCACAGTCTCTTTCAAAACAATTCCTCCACTTAATGCGATCTAGAGCTTTCTCCTTCAAATGACAGTATCCTCTTCTGTCCCCAAGGTCATCCAGCATCTTCTTACGTCTTCTTCCTCGTCTTCTTGTCACTTCTATCCGCCCATCTATCTTTCCTTCGATAGCTTCTTTTAGAAGGCAGTTTCTGCGTAAAACATGACCAATCCAATTA